GTCGGGATGGGAGCGGACGGCGAGGTGCCACCATCCCCTGGGACCATCCTGGCCCCATTGGGGTCACGGCCCCACGGGCGCACGGTGCCGGCAGCGATGCTGGCAGCTCCCCGGGAGGTTTTCCCCAAAGGGCCGAGTCCTGCCCCATTGCTCAGTGCTTGTTCTTCCTCGTGTGGCTCCTGCAAGGGGCTCTGTGGGGACAAGGAGTGTCCCCCCCCCCTTGGTTTTGGTGTGCGTGCTGCTGCCCTGGCTGGAGATGCTCTCCGTAGTAGGGTCAGACCTGGTGCCCCCCGCACAGGGAGCGGGGAGAAGGGCAGGGAACAACTCGGTCCCTAAAAAGCCTCATAGAGGGTGCCCCCCTGCCCCTCCCAGGGTTAATTTATTCATCTGAGGGTGCTGCGATGGGAGATGGGGAGCCTGAGAGGGCTGGGCTGAGAGCAGCAGGGTTTGGCGACGGGAAGGGAGGTGGCTGGGGGCTGCGCGGGGGCCAGCGGTGTGGGACGGGCAGGAGGGAGGTGGCCGTGTCCCTGCAGTCCCCTGGGAGGGATCGGGGCAGGGAAGGAGGTGACAGTGCCCAGGATTTAAAAGAAACCCATTGGAAACCCCAAATGGAAATGGTCGGGATGCCCAAGGGGCACGGGGACTTGGGGACCCCCCAACCCCCAGACGCCGCGTGGCTCCCTCCCCGCTGTTTGTTTCCTCCGACCGCCCTGCTGTAATTACAGCCCGCTGTCACTCTCCCGTAATACATCTTGGATTTTATCACTGCTTAATTAAATAACCGTGGGGAAGTGAGGGGCCGTTAACCCCTCGTGTGCCGGCACGAACAACCCCGTGGTGCTGGGGAGGTGGCAGAGGGGCACGGGGAGGGCTGCTGGGGGGGCGCAGCCAAATGAGGGCACCCCGGTGTCTGTGCTAGATAAGAAGTGCTGGTATTTGTTGTTTGGGGTCAGTGGGGGTGTTTCAGTGGGGCAGCTGATCACAGACCGTGGCGGGATGCTGGAGGACTCACGGGGTGATAAAGGTGCAGGTGGGCACGTGCTGTGGGGTGGGAAAGGGTGCGCAGGCTGGGGAGCTGGCAGACCTCTCCAAAATCCTGGGAGCCACCTCCGACCACAATTAGCTGCTGCTAACGAGACGTTGGGCTTGGAAATGCGAAATCTGGGGATGGTGAGATTTTGGGGATGCCTCATGGCAGGGTGCTGTGGGCTGGGGGGTTCACGGATGAGCGGGGCGAGGAGAGCAGGGGGCGACCTGCAGCTTTGGGGTGCCGGTGCCTCTCCTCCTCCTCCTGCTGCAGGAGCCGAGTGCTGCCAAGGATTTGCAGCCCTGACTTTGAGGCTTTGCACAGATCAAAGCCTGGGGGGCATCTCTCATCTCGGCTTACCTGGGCCCTGTGTGCCCCCAGCCCGGGGCGCGGGGGGATTTGGAGGCAGTGCTGGCAGCTGGAGGCTGCTGGCTAAATCCAGCCGAGCCTTTCGCTCCGTGGGAGCCTCGGCAAATCGTCCCTCGAGCCCAGGCAGCGCTGGTACAAATCTGCTGCTAATTAGACTTGAAAGTCCTCCCGTGAGCTCAGGCGCGGGATGGATATTTGGTTATTAACAGATTTATTTCTGAGCCTCTCGGCAGGTCTGGCACCGGGAGGCTGAGCTCTCCCCAGGCTCGCTCCTCTCAGGGGCGTCTGGGGGCTCCTGGGGACGGGGTGGCTGCTCAGCCCCCTCTGCTTATTTTTGGGGTGTCCCAGAAAAGTGGGGACAAGGAGGGTGCTGGAGCAGAGGGGTTTGCTCCGTCATTGCGGGTCTGCTGTCTGGGGGACCCACGGGGAGCCCCCATTTATTTTAGGGGGTGTCCGGCCGTGCGTCTGCTCCCCCCTGGTGCTGATCCATCCCTCACCTGGCTGCGGGGCTGGGAGCTCCTGCCCCTTGTGCCGAGGCTGGAAACCAGGCTCGTGTTTTCCTCACCAGGGCTGGAGGGAGCTGAGCACCGCGGCACCCCCCGGGAGAGCATCCCTCCCTGCGGCGGAGGCAGGCAAACAGAGACCGTAGCACTGCTTCGGAAACAACCCAAAATAGCTTTCCTGTCCCCAAAACGTCACTTTAACACAGCATATGCTGAGGGCCCCCCCGGGGCTTGCAGCAGGCTGAGCGCGTGCCCTGGAGGTGCCCTGTGGCCGGGGGGGGGCTGAGCCTGCCCTTGGGGCAGGAGCTGGCAGGGGGTGAGGGTTGGCATGGGGGGCATCAATCCCAAGTGTTTGGGGTTGAGGCTGAAAAAAGCCACCCCTGGATCCCCCCCAGGCAGGATGTCACCCATCGGGGGTGTCAGGCCAGCTGGGGGGCTGCCGGTGTGGGGACATCAAGGGGGGAGAGCTGTGGGTTGGGGTCTCGGCCCCATCTCCAGCCTCCCTCCCTGCTGCATCTCCGGGAACAGGGAACAGGGAGCAGGCCCCTTGCTGCAGCACCGGGGTTATTCATAGCAGCAAACACTCCCCATGCCTTCAAGCCGAGTCCTTTTTGGGGAGATCCCTGCCTTTTGAAGACTGTTTTCCCTCCCTGGGATCCCTGGGTCACCTTATCTCGCTCTCCCAGCTGTGCAGCCGCTGCGTGCCGGCGCTCCCGGTGCTGCAACGAGGGGGCCACGCTGCCAGCCCACCGACACCCCCGGGAACCCACGTGCCTGGGAGGCGAGGTGACATCCCCGGCACCTCTGTCCCTGCTGTCCCCACCTCCCGTCACCCCGCCGAGCTGGCGCTGATTACACGGAAATGAGCCCGGTGCCGTCTCCCGTTTATCGGAGCACAACCTGTGCGTAATCGCACGGGGCTTGCTGATTTGTCTCTGGCAGGTTTGGGGACAGGGTGGGGGCTGTAACGAGGCGCTGCTCCCATCCCTGTGGCCAAGCTGAGATTTATTTTTCTTCCCCAGTCTGCTCAGGTGAGGTTTGGAGAGGGCAGGGAAGGCTTTGTGGGCATGGAAAGTGTGGGGTGCTGTGCCGGGGGTGGAAACCCTGCTGCCCCCCGTGGGGTGGGTGGGCATCCAAGGGGCAAAATGAGCCCCACTGCTGCTCTTTTGGGATTAGGAGATTCAGCTGTGCTCTTTGAGGGTCTTGGGGTGGTCTCAGGGTGCACCCATGGCTGGGGATGATGGATCCAGCCCGCCCCGTCCCCTCCTCCCCGGGTGCAATGAATTATTCACGCCCCGCAGGCGGGGGTGCCGCAGCCCGCCCGTGTGCTGCGGAGCACAGAGAGCTTTTCTGTGTAAATCCTTGAAATATTTAGCAGAACTGACTTAAAAATACAGCCTGGGAGGAGCCTTGGTGTAACTTGGAGGCTGGGACGGGAGCAGCTCAGCTCCCATGGGCCGGCGATGGGTGCGATGGATGCCCCGGCGTGCTGCTGGGGGGGCTTTGGCTCAAGCTGCTGGTGGAGCTGGTGTCTGTCTGTCCAAACACCCGTCTTTGGGTCTTTCTGGACATGTCCCCAGCCCCAGCCTTGTGCCACCAGTGCCGGGCTGCTGCCCCATCTCCCGCTGCGTGCCAGCCACGGGCAGGATGGCATTTGGGGCCAGCAGCCTCGGGGCCGGGCTCCTTCCCTGGCAGCACCTCCCCGAGCAGCCGGATCACACCACATGCATTTTTTAACAAGCTCCAGCAGCTGGGAACGAGCCGAGCTGTCACGGCAGGTCTCTGATCAAAGCCAGACGTGCTGTGGCAGCCCGCGGGAGGGTGGCCCTGCACGCCACCCCTCTCCATCACACGGGGATGCGTTACGGGGCATTTACCCTGGCACAGCAGCTCGGGACGCAGCACGTGAGCTGCCCCTGCACCCCTGGGGACAGCGGGATGTCTGCCCCGCTCCGTGCCCTGCTCAGCTCCCTCCTGTCCCCGTTGCATCCCCGGATCAAGGGCCATGCCCACCAAAGGGCCCCTGCAGCTGGTGGCGCACGATTTCCTCCGCGAGCACCTGCTGAAGCCCCGGGCTGTGACGGCGCATCCCATGTCAGATGCGCTGCAAATCCTGCCTGCTAATAGCTATGCAAATTACCTCATTAGCCGCCTTATTTATTTCCTCCGGCATCGTGGCATCGTGTTTTCGGCACTTCCCTGCCTCCCGGAGGCTGCAGGTCCCCAGGGCTGGGAGGAGGCAGCGTGGCCAGGGCTGGAGGGACACCGCGCCGTGGTGCTGTTGGGGACCAGGGGCTGGAGTCGTGCCCCTCCTCATCCCTTTTGCCCCAGTTCCGGGGGGGCTCTCTGCCACCTGAGAGCATTTCCCAGGGGTGTTCCCATGCCCACGGCACCGTGATAGTGGGATGGGCATTGCCTGGGCACGAGGGACCCCATAAAAGTGCCAGCCCTACATACCTTACCCCAGCCACCCCACGGACTTTGTGCCGCGCCGTGCCGCCTGCCAGCGCTGTGTCTGCTCCCCCCGCTGCTGTTTACCTTTGATTCCCCCCTTCTTTTTGCGGCTGTGCCGATGAATATTTCATGGCAGGGAAGCAGCACAAATTCCCCCGGCTGCTCCCTGCCCCCAGCGCTCTCCTGGCAGCCCCCAGCCCCACGGCCATGGCCTGGGGAAGCTTGGGGGGGGACCGTGGTGCGTGTCCCCTCCCCGGCAGAGCTGTCACCGTCGTGGCCATATAGCCACGCACACGTGGCTGACACATCCGCACATGTCCCCTGCTGTCCCCCAAGTGCCACCAGGCAACTGAAGGAGCCCTGTCCCCAGCTCACCTCCCCGTGGCCTGGTTCTGCGCTGTGCGGGGGCTCCTCTTAGCGTCAGGCAGCAGCAGCAGCACGGTGCCACCGCTCGGCCTGTGTCACCCCACGGGCTTTGTCACCCCCATGGGCTCTGTCACCCCTCTGGGCTCTGTCACCCCACAGGTGGCACAGGGTGACCCCGTGGCTTTGCTGCTCTCCTGGGCGGGTGGCAGGCGGTGTCCCCGCTGCCAGCCCGGGGACCGTGCGCTCGGAGGGAGCTGGGGATGGGAACCAGGAGGGAGCTGCTGTGGGGCTCCTTCCTTGCAACCCCCCTGCTGCCTGTGGGGTGGGGAGGGGACAGTCCCCAGGCTCAGCCCAGGGGGTCCCTACAAGCTTCTGCCTGCTGTCATTGCATGAGGTCCCCCCTGGAGAGCCGAGGGCTGAACCAAAGGGGTGATGCTCTTTGGGAACCCCTCTCCAGTTCCAGACTGGTTTAGCACCCAAGGGTGCTGGTGGGGCAGCCAGGGCTGGGGGGTGACATCGGTGCCGGGCTCTTCTCCCCAGCGGTGTCCCTAAGGCCACCGTGGGGTGCTCTGTGCATGCAGTTTTGGGGCGCCTGTCCCACATGGACATCAGGGCGCGCAGGATGGTGCTGGCATCGCCCACCTCCCATGGGTCTGCTCCCAAGGAGCGGGGTGATGGATTTGGGATTTCTCTGCCAACTTTGCTGCTGTCGTGTCCTGTGGGCTCTGGCACCCTCCTGTGGCTGTTTGCCACCTCTCCGGTGTCCCACGGGTTTTTTTGGGTGCTGGGCACCACAGGCGAGGACGAGGGTCTGGGCACCCTGATCTGTCCCTGTGGGGTGGCAGGAGGGGACTGGGCACCGCTGGCAGCCCAAATTTCCAAGCTTTTGGCTGATGGAGGTAGGATGCCCCTTCTTTTGGGGAGCAGGGGATGAGGTTACCCCATACCAACCCTGGGGGGGCTCCTGCCCTGCCCCTTAGGGCTCCTGGCAGGGACTGGGCACTCCGGCTGTGCCTGGCCGGCTCGTGCCTGCGCACCCTTTCCGTCTCCAAGGGAGCAGAAGCTATAATTTCCATCACGTCCCTTTTTCTTCGCTTCCTCCCCCATTAATAAGAGATGAAGCTCATGAGATAATAGAGCCGGGATGGACGCGGAGCTGCCATCCTGCAGGCACGGGGGGTGGAAGCGATGCGGAGCAGGGAACCGCGGCTGGGGAAATGGGGCTCGGGGAAGGGACGTGCTTGCCAGGAGGCACGGAGCATCTCGGGCTGGCTCTGGGAGCCGGGAAATCCCACTGCTGCCACGCGCCAGACTCTCTCCTGGCTCTGACACACCGTGCAAACCAGCAGCTCGCTGCCAGCCCCAGCTTTGGAGCGAGCAGCTCTGAGTCCGGGCAGCGTGGGAGCCTGAATCCTCTTTTTCCCATCCTTGCACCTCCTCTCCTTCGCTGTGTGGAGCCCGCTGGAGGTACCCGGGGATGCAGGATGCTCGCCGTGAGGGATGCCTGGGGATGTGGGATGCTCGCTGTGCCGGATGGATGATGCCTGGGGATGCAGGATGCTCGCCGTGAGGGATGCCTGGGGATGTAGGATGCTCGCTGTGCCAGACAAATGATGGCTGGGGATGCAGGATGCTCTCGGCACCTGGTACCAAGGATGGTACCCAAGGTACCCAAGGCTGCAGGACGCTCTCAGCGCTGGATGGGTGATGCCCAGGGATGCCGGACGCTCTCCATTTCAGCTCCCCTCCGGAAGGAGCATCCTTTGGAGAGAGGCGGCCCCGGGATGCAGCAGTGCCTCATTGGCCAGCGGGACCTGTGGAGCCTGCGGGTTGCCATACCAACCTGCCTCGGCTCCTGGGGCGAGCTGGTGCCAAGGGGCGGACCACGAGCCGGGGGCAAGCCGGGGCTCTGCCAGCCAGGAGGTGCCCGCCTGCCTCTCCCCGAGGCTCCCCAGCCCCGAGCATCCCCCGGCTGCTGCTCCCCACCTCTCCCTGCACCCTTTTTGCAGAGGGGGCAGCGGGTTGGCACGGCTCCAGGGGTCTCACCCTGGCACCCCACTGCCTGCCCTGCAGCTGAGGCTGAGCTTTGGTGCACCTCCGCCTGGGGAGAGCCATCCCTGGTGGCTTTTTGGCTGGCAGCCCGGCCTCCCGGGACCATCCCGGCACAAAACTTCCCGGCTGCCTGCCTGCCACCCGGGAGCAGGGCCTGGAGGCTGCCGCGCTGCCGCTGCCCTCCCCGCAGGGCTGCTGCACCTGCCGCTGATGCCCACGGGCTCGCTGCGGGCTGGGAAGGCTCTGTCCTGCCCCGGGCATCGCCGGGCGCTCGGAGGAGCCGGGGGCTGTTTGGTGGCTGGGTTTGGGGGGGTTGAGGCCGGGTCCCTCCCCAGCGCTGCGAGCTGGAGCCATGAGCCAGTGCCAGCAGCGCTGCAAGAGGCAGCTGGGCCGAGTGATCCGCTCCTTCTACCAGTTCGTCACCGGGACCCTCTCCCAAGGTAGGTGCTGCCCTGGGGGCTGGGGGCTCCGTGCTGCGGGAGGGGGGCTCCGTGGCTTGTGTCTGCGGGGTTATTTGGGGAGGGGGGCGTTTGGGTGCTGAGAGATTCAGCCCCAAGGCAGGGGGGTCGCAGCGTGCTCCATGGGGAGCAAGGCGAATGATGCTTGAAGGGGTGATGAGAGCCCCCGGAGGTCCCCTGAGGACTTGGGGTGCCAGGAATATTTTAGCTGGGGAGGGGACACGTCCATCGCAGCCGGCGTGCCCCTCCCTGATGCCCCTCCAGGCTGCAGGAGGAGCCCTGGGTGTGCGCAGAGCTGGGGCAGGGACACTCCTGGTGCCCTGGTCCTGCCCCTCCGCCCTGGGATGCCACCTGGCCCTGGGGACGGAGCCGTGTGCCCCTCAGTGGGATGGCACAGCCGTGGCAGGACCCGCAGCCCTCCCTCCCTGAGCCCCCTCTGCTGCCAAGCCCCCCGTCCCACCCCCTGTCTGGTCAGGGCCAGGAGCCACCTCCTAACTGCTGTGGGCACGGCTCGGGGAGGTCGTGGTGTGCCTGTGTGTGCTGGGACCCCAGGGACAACGGCAGCCCCTGCTTTGGGGCCAAGCCCTGCACGGCTTTTGGGGTGCGTGCGGAGCAGGAGCCGCCCTGGTGCCCGGGATGCCCAGGAGCTGGGAGCACGGGGAAGGCCTTGCTGGGCCAACGTGGCCACGGCACTCCTTGGAACAGGGCTGGTACTCGTGCCACCTCCCCCAGGAGCCAGGCTGCCCACAGGAATCCTGCCGGCCTCCGTCCCCTCCTCATCCGCCTCTCTCCCAGCCCCTGGGGCATGGGGAGGGTGGGGATACCCACGGTGCTGTGCTGGGGGCTGGTGGCAGGGCTGTGGGGACACGGGGGTGCCATCTCCCATCTGAGCCGTGCCAAGGTGCTGTGCCCATCTCCATCGGGCACCATCCCTCTCGTCCTGAGCAGGGGATGAGTCGGCTGAGAGCTGCAGGTGACGGGGCACCTCGGGGTGCTGCTGTCCCCCAACACGCAGGGATGTCCTCCAGGTCCTCGTCCTGCCGCCCTGGGCTTCCCTACCCAGCCCAGATGGGCTCTATGGGGCCGATCCTTAGCGGGTGTCCCCATGTGCAATGCTGAGCCACCCCAAGGGCTTGTCCCCGTGATGTCCCCATGGCCATGCTGGGCTGGGACAGTCACAGAGGGCAGGGCTGGCAGCAGGGCATAGGTTGCCACTGCTCACCCTCTTCTTGGGGTCCTCTGTGCTGGGGAAAAGCTGGAGTGGGTGGAAACCCCAAGCTGGGCAGGTCTGTGCTCCACCAAGGTTTGGTGTTTGGGGCTGGGATGCGGGGTTTGCACACCTCCTCCTCCCCAGCCACTGCTCCAGTCCTCCTCTGTGCCCCCACCTGCCCCTTTTTTTGGGGATGAGCCCCTCTGCCCTCCCTGCACAGGCTAAGGAGATGCCACGGAGCTCACCATGGATGGCACCAGGTGCCCGGCCACAGGGACCTGGGGGGGGGGTGCCCCCCAGCCAGGCACCCTAGGGAGCCAGGCAAGGGCAGGTCGTCAATGGGGGGGGAAAGAGAAATGACTCAATCAATTAACCAGATTAAAACTGTGACTTCACCTCCCCGAAATAGCATTTTGCCAATATTTTAATGTGCTTATTAATAATCTGCTCGCGCTCTGATTAGCAGCGAGGTAATAAGGGATCAGCTGTAACCTAAATTTAACTCTCCCTAATGGATGATGGCCCCGAGAAGCAAAAAATAAAAAAAAATAAAAGAGAGAGGCTCCTATCCACCAGGCTGCCCCCCAGGGGCCTGGGCAGATGTCACTCAGCTGTGCTGGGGACCGTGACCCGGCTGGTCCCATGGCACGTCCTGGGGGACAGCCAAACCCCACTGCGCCCCAGCACCTTGTGGCACTGGGCTAGGGGCACCCGTCCTGTGGGTGATTTTCCCCTAAGCCAGCCTGGGCTGCACGTCCTGGGTGGCATTTTCCCCAGCCACATGTCCCTCTGATGGGGCTAAGAAATGGTTTGGGGACTGGAGGGGTCTCGGGCACGCGTGCGGGTTGTCCTGCGGGGTTTGGGGCTCGTGTGATGTTCCCCGGTGTTGCAGAACAGGAGCCAGGCAGGTGGGTCTGGCTCCAGGACGAAAAAAGATGAGGCTGATCCCAAACTGGGGGGGTCAGGGGATGGGATTGTCACGCCGCTCTGCCAGACCCAGCTCTCCAGGCAGGAGATGCCTTCGAGGCGCGGTGTCTGCAGCAAGGACGGGCACGCACATCCCGGCGCTGGCTGCTGCTGGGCTGCAGCATCATCCCCTGGGGGAATCCCAGTTTCCAGGACTCCCAGCTCCTCTTGTGGGGTGACATCGAGGAGCTGAGCCCTTCCTCAGCCTGTGCTCCTCCCGCTGGGGTCACCGGGAGCTGCCCAACTCGGAGCAGCCTTTGTGCCACGGCGACGGCCGCACGTGTGGCGAGCTCTCCCCGTGCTCAGCCCCGCTCAGCCCCCTGCCTCTCTGCTCTGCTGGTGCTGGGCTCCCCCCGGGGCCGGCAGGGTTATTTTTAACCGTTTTGCCATGTGCTGCCTGAGCACAATTAAGGTAATTGGTTTGGGAGCCTGGCTCTCACACGCCGCCCCCAATTACCTGCCTGCACGCCCGCCTCCCTGCCCGCCGTGGCCGGGGGGCTGCCGGGGTAGGGCTGCCCCAGATAGCGAGCTGGGGCTGGGCTGGGGGTGCTGAGCGGGTGCTGGGGATGGAGCCATGGAGAGGACATCCCTGCACAACGACAGCCTGCTCTATGCCTCCCTGATCGCCATCCTGCTGCTCATCTCCTACTGGTTCACCACCCGCTGCTTCAAAATCATCAGCGGCATCGAAGGTACGGGCTTGGGGGCATGGGGGCCATCCCGTCCCCACTCTGCAAGCCAGCTGGTGGGGTGACTTGGGCACTTGGTGTGGGAAAAAGAGATCGGGGACCTGTCTCTGGGGCACCTCGTTGTCCTCCTCGGTCACTTGATGCCCGCCCGTCCTGGTCCTGCTGTGTGAGAGCAGCCGGTGCCAGCCGTGGGGACGTCCGGGTGCCTCCACCCCAGTGGTTCCCATTTAACCTCGGAGCAAATCGGTGATGCTGGGGGCCCCACCTTGTGTTTTAGGGCTCCTGGTCCCTCTGGGCATGACCTACATCTCGGCTCCTCACCTGCTGCGTTGGGCTGTGGGCTGCTGCAGGGGTCCCAGATTTGTTGGTGACCCCCACTGCTGTGGGATGTGCACGCTGGGTGCGTGGCACAGTGACACCCCAAGGCAAGCAGCGGGGTGTGACACGAGAGGTGGCCCTGGTCCAGGGCTGTGCAGGGCTTCTCCTGCCCAGGGCACGCATTTATCCATCCACCCGTGTGACCTCTGCCAGCACAGATCTGCCAGGGCCTCCGGGCTCTTCCCATGGCGTGGCTGAACGCTGGGAGTGATGCTCCTGGGGGGGCTGGGGGGCACAGCCCTGTCCCATTTCTGCCAGGGTGAGCGGGTTTTGGCTGCCCGTTCGAGCATCCCTTGCAGGTGGCGGTGGGTCCGGCTCCATGGGTTTGTCCCATGCGTCCCCTCCGTCCTCAGAGCAGCTCCAGCGGGGGGACAATTCCCTTGCGGAGGAGCTGACCCTTTTTGCAGGGACAAGTCCTGGCTGGAGGGGCTCCTCTGGGGGTGTTTGGGCTGTTTCTGCCCAAAAATAGGTTGCTTAAATAGTCTCGTAGCACATGGGACAGCTGCCAGTCGTGGGAGCAGCTGGGGGAGAGGATCGGATGGATGCAGGCAGGGCTCGGCCAGAGGAGTGGCTTTAAAAAAAAAAAAAGGGGAAACTTCCTCCGAGAGTGCAACAGGCCAGGGCCACCCTGTCCCCAAAGGAGTCACCCTGGGCGGAGGTGAAGCTGGGAGCAGCCTCGGTGCCTGGAAACTCGCCGCTTTCCAAGAACGGGAGCTGTCAGCCCCGCAATCCTCCAGCCTGAGGGATGCTTCCCCGGGGAGGGCTCTCAGTGCTCTCCCCAAGCCACTTGTGATGCGTTGCTGGCATCTTACTGCTGGCAGCAGAGGCCCCAGGGCTGGAGGAGACACCGAGCCCGGTGGCACGGAGCCGCTCGGTTCCCCTGGTGATGTTTTCCCCATGGTCCCACCTTCAGGAGGTGGAAGGACCCTATAAGTGGGCAGGGGGCTGCCCTATAGCCTGGGCACGGCCACCCCACCCCAATCTGGCCCCGTGGCACGGCGAGCTCCTGGGGGACAGCCCCGCTCCCCGCTTTCCTCACCAGTACCGGGGCTGCTCTTGCTTCGTCCCCGCACGTGGGACCGGGCCACCCTTGGAGCAAGGGCTGGAACGCTGTAAAAAATGCATGGCAGCTAAATTTAGCCCCGCTGGCTGCCTGCTGGAGGCACTCGGACGCCCGGCTCCTCCGCCCACCGCTGCGTGACCTTGGCCGGGTCCCTCGGGCTCCCCGTGCCCCCGGCTCCATCCTGCCCCGGGGGTCGGGAGGACGCGGGGGCAGCCCCTGCCTCCCCCTATGTTTTTGGGGTGCCGGTCCCCATGGTGCACGGGATGGGATGGGGAGAGGCGCAGAGGACAAGCCTGAGTCATCCCCATCCTGGATGTTTACCCGGTGCCCAGCGTCCTGTCCCCACCGTGTGTGTGTGTGTCCCCCCCCCGGGAACCGAATGCCTTTTAATATCTGCGGCCCGTTTCCGTAGCAACTGCATTAAGCAAATCGATGGCGGTGGTGTCATTGGGATGGGAGGGCATGCCTCCTGCCCCCCCGGCCCGCCACCCCACACCCCCCCCTGGCTTGGCCTCTCTCCGCTCTCCCGCGCAGGCACGGCCCTATTTGGCTCCCAGCTCCCGGAGCCGCCCGTGCCAGCCCCAGACGTCCCCAAAAAGAGGGGTGACATCCACCAACCCCCCCCTGGGGACAGCTGTCCCCAAGGGATGCGTGGTCTGGCGGCCGCTGCGTCGGG